GGGGGGGGGGGTGTTTACCGTTTCAATTATTATACTAGTAAAGTATTCTAACCATTTTTATCTACGATTAGCTCGACCTACCAAAATTCTGAAACTAAATATCCCATATTGTGCCAATAAGCCTTCCTGCATTCTATTTTACTATTCAATACCTGTGTCCGGGTGCACATAGGATAAACTAGGAATTACTTGACAACATTTAATTTTATCATATTAGTTTATCGATTAATTAAGCCCAGTCCGCCTTCTTTTTTACGCAAAGTGCATTAGATTTTATTTTAAAAACGTGCATGGTGTAAGAAATGCTATGTCCCGTTATGCAACTGTTTTGATTGTTTTCTAGAAAGTTCTTCAAGATGTCCCAAATTTTCACACAACACCATCAGATGATATAAAGACAGCTAGACCAACATATGATATCGGCCGATTTATCGCAACTCAGGGGGTCACCGCTAAAATTAATGCCATATCAGTTGTGTTAGTCGGTTTGGGTTGATTTATCGACCTGACAAGCGAATTATCGGGCATCTACCGATAAACTGGCTAGGCCCCTCTTGGCAGAAACCTCAAAATTTGCCCTCCCCTCTAGCTGCCTCCCGCACAATATCCCACCCCGCTCGATATGGTTTGGGCACTGCCCAGCGCGCTGCCACCCTGCTCCCCAATCACCCCTCCACCGCCACCCAGCTCGCCTCCGGTGACCGGAGCTAGCTCGGCCTGAGCTCCCCGCCCTCTGAATCTCCCTCTCGTTGTTCCCAGGAGCTGAAGCACCAGCGCCCTCTGCATCTCCCAGCTCGTCCAGGAGCACGATGGCCAACACGTGGAGCAGCTCTCTGTGGCCATCCCTTCCTCCAGCAGAACAAGACCTGCCGCCACCCATTCCTCCAGCAGCATTAGGCCTACTGCCATCCCCTGCTCAAGGAGAAGCTCCTCCACGATATGATTTCTTCCTCATTTCTAGTCAAGCAGTGATGAGCATGTTGTGTAGATTGTACAAGGATTCAAAGGCAACGAAAACACTTCTGTCCCACTATTGTTTATGTGTTGAATATATCATATTTTAGAATTTTTAGTGCTACAAACCTGGGATTTTTAAAAAAGAACTGTAGTTTGGACGTAGAAACATTGTTCTAGGGTTAATTACCTTCTTGGAAAAGGCACAAAGAGATTGATCATCGGAGAATCTCCTGAGCTCTGAAACTTTGTATGGCCCCCCTGTGCACAAAAGTGCAGTCCTTAATTGCTTTGTCAACACAATGATTCGGCTGCCATTCTCATTGTCCGGCAGGCACACTCGGATGGCATCCCAGTCCACCACACTGAATACTTCTTCTAGAATGATGAGATACTTGTGTGCATTCACTTGCTGCATGAGCTCAGCCTCCGTGAGACGGTCCACGGCAATGTTTTTTTGGTGAGAGCTCACATAGAACTGAGTCAGCAAGCTCTTGATGAACTCATCAGGTTTAAAAGGATGCGTCAACTTTACCCATGCTCGTCTTTTGAATGCTCGGCAGATTCCTGGGTCACCATACAGCATGCTAAAAATGGACGTTGTCCCAAGATCAGCTGCTGAACTTCCCCATACGGAGATTGTTTGAAGGTCACTGCCTTCACCCATGATCAACTCCTGTAGGTCACTCATGCCGCGTCGCTTCCCAGCAGCCTCCCAGACCTCAGTTAGCATGTGGAATGCTGATGGGTTGGTGGTGACCAGGGCGGCCTGCTCGGTTGGCGTGGTGGTCTTGGCTTGGGAGCCGGAGTCACTGATGAGGTTGTAGCGTGTGTTTCTCTGGCTTACCTCCTCGACCCTCGCCTTCAGCTGCTTTAACTCAGCGACTGCCCTGTCCAGCTCCCGAGTCCGAGGTGGTGCCATGCAGGATGGCACCAGGCGCCACAACCAGATCAAGGTCGTGTTGTTGTTGTCCAGGTGGACAACAAACTCAACGCAGTCTTCGACATCGAAGGCAAGGTCTCGGAGCTGCTTCACCCAGGTCTTCACCACTTCATTATTAGCGCGCTCTTTGTTGACGACCTTAAGGAAGGACTGCATCATTTGGAATTCGGCTGTGATGTATCGCAGATCTTGCTTCGCCGTCACCCTCAGCTTGTTCTCTTCATCGATCGCCAACTGGACCCTGCTCAGTGTCCCCTCCACCGCCGTCTTGGTCAACCCAAGCGCGAAGTCCGCCATTGTTTGCTCTCTGAAGATCTCTAGAGTTTGTTTCCTTCTTGTGTAGTGTGGGTAGGAGGCAGCAGGCAATCCGCTAATCTGCAGATGGTTTATAAAGAGGGAGAGAAAATGGAAGAAAACCATATCAGGAGAAAGCATCTATTGGAGCAAGTCGAACATCTTGGATAGTATCCGGTCCACTATAAAGCTGATAGTCTTCTACTTACGTGCACACACATGCAGGCACGCACACACACACACACATACACAAAACACTGTTAGGCATATGCATTAGATCACCTTTGTACGATGCTTTGCCTCTTTGGTGATGAGCTGCAACCATCAACTTTCATGATGGAGGTAGCTATCCTACTTTCATGAGAGAAAACTAGCAGCTCACTACAGGAAAAACACATGTTGCCTTGTATCATGTAGTAAGCCGAATGTTAAAACACGGGTTCATTATTTGTGATGTTCTGCTATAGCTACCTGTTTTTCTTTGAGTTTGATAGAAACTCACTATTTAAGGAAGTATAGCTTCTACCTTTTAATCCTTGTCCGTGTGTCTTGTTCTAGTGAGGTTATACATCTCTATTTAAGTTTTTCAGCACTGAATTGCTAATTGGCCATGTGGTACCATCAAGGTCCACAAGAGCCCTTAGGTGCTCATGTGCGATTAGAACGATGATGTATTAAAGTCCACATCATTTGCCATTTGGTATGCATAATCAATTAGCACAATGATCAGAAAAGAAAAACAAAGATTACAATCCATCCCAAAAACGAAGAACACAAATATATACACTTTTTTTGGAACAAAGCCAATTATGTTTGTTTGTTCCGGCTACAGTTACATTGCAACCAATAACAGCAGTTTAGGAAATCTCGTGGCAAACCTAGATGAGGAGTCATCCTTTGAGGGGCTTGTTTAACTTTGGGGTACCTTCACCCCTACCAAAAGAACAAATAGTTGCCCCTCAACCTACTGAACCTACTGAAAATATTTACTATGAAATTCCTTCGGGTATGATAGAGAAACTGCTAGCTAATCCTTATGCAGGAGATGGAACACTACATCCTGATATGCATGCTTAATTCTCACAAAGTTGCTTTAGGAATGATACGCATGATGTTGAAAAATATAGATGGGAAGTTATATGGAAACCAGATGGAAAGCACGGAGTGGGCAATGAACCACAAAATTATTTTAGGGGTGGGGATGGGGGAGCGAAATTACCTTCAACCTGACAGATGAATCGCGTGCATTTTGCTCCAGTAGGTCTTGCTCTAGCTAGTAATGCAGCTTGTGGAAGCGCCAGGAACAGAGCTTCGTTTATATATAGATGAAATGGGCACACATCGGAAGTTGTTTGAAGAGACCCTTCTTAAAATTTTAAACTATGACGAATTCACTTAGTCCTGTCTTTGCAAGCCAGCTAGTCATGCAGGTGATGCTGCTAACCAGTAGTAGTATTAGTAGTACGATTCAAAAATTTATAGCAACTGTTTAATTAGAAATTGATTAGTTGGGCAGGTATGCATCGATATTGTTGATCTGATTCATGCATGCATCTGCGGATGTATATAACCACTTGACGTTACTAATTCCTGTAACGTCATGAGCCTAATTAATCATGCCCAAATTATTGTGAAAGGTACAGCTGCCCATGTAGAATGCATGCAACCATGTACCAGCAAAATATATACTTTCCCCAACAAGTTGCAAGTGGAAATATATACAAATGTATAATCTCTGAGGTGCTAACAACTCTTGGCAACAAAAGAGAAGAGACCCAAAGGATGCGAGAAGATGCACTAATTCCTGAGCATAATTAATTAAGTTCCTTATTAATTACAGGCAAACTATGTTACTTTCCGCATAACGTTGCAAATGGATAGCCAACTTGAAATATATACAAATGTATGAGCTCTGAGGTGCTAACAACTCTTGGCAACAAAAGAAGAGACCCAAAGGATGCGACAAGACGCGCTAATTCCCGTGCCTAATTAATCAAGTTCCTTATTAATTACAGGCAGCTTTGATGTGAACCCTGACGTGGAATGATTACCTTTTCATCAATCAATCAGCCACCAAGAGTGGTGGTTGCAGCCGGGTTCAGTTTGTGATTTTTTTTATGGAGTGGCTTAATTCTCACAAAATTGCTGAAGAAATGATGCGCGGCACTGAAAAGTATAAATAGAAAGCCCATATGGAACAAATAGAAAGCTCACATGATCTCAAGTGAACACTAAATTCTGATAAAATAGTAAAAAGAAACAAACAATTCTAAAATTGTTTGGTAAGAAACATTGATGTTTTTTTACACGCATGCAAATTTTCGCAATGGGATCACATTTGTGGAGGTGTAGACAAAAAAAAATTGATGCTCCAAAATGCTTCCAAAAACACTTGTTTTGGAGCATCGATTTTGTTTTTTTTTCACACCTCCACAAATGTGATTCGATCAAAAATTTGCACGCATGTAGAGAAAACATCACGTTTCTTGCCAAAACAAATCTACTTTTTACTATTTTTCAGAATTTACTGTTCATCCGAGATCATGTGAGCTAGAGCTCACATACTCCATGTGCCATATGGAACAACTACTAAAGTGAAGCACAGAGTGGAGATGAACCAGATAAGTATAACAGGCAGGGAGCACAAAATTATCTTCAACAAGACGGATGGATAGTGTGCATTTTGTTCCCGTAAGTCTTGCTCTAGCCAGTAGTGCAGCTTGTGGAAGTGCCAGGGACGGAGCTTCGTTTATATAGATGAAATATGAATACATTGGAAGTTGTTTAAAGAACCCCTTCTTGAAATTTTAAACTATGACGAACTCACTTAGTCCGGTCTTTGCAAGCCAGCAGCTAGTCCTACAGGTGATGCTGCTAGCTAAGCAGTAGTAGTGTGATTCAAAAACTAATAGCAATTGTTTAATTAGGAATGGAGTAGTTGGGCGGTATGCATGGATATTTTTGACTAGATTCATGCATGCATCTGTCGATGTATAACCACTTGCAGTTATTAATCCCTTACTGCTCATGGACCAAAGAAAACAAGGTTGGCCGGCAGGTAATGATGCCCAAATTATTGAGAAAGCTACACCTGCCCCTGTAGAATGCATGCAACCATGTACCAGCAAAATATAACTTTCCACATAAAGTCGTAAGTGGATGGCCAACTTGAAATATATATACATAAATGTCAACTTTGAGCTGCTAACAACTCTTGGCAACAAAAGAGAGACCCAAAGGATGCGACAAGAGGCGCTAACTCCCGTGCCTAACTAATTAAGTTCCCTATTAATTACAGGCAGCTTTGCTGTGAATGCTGACGTGGTTGATCTGGGTTTGGGGGCTCATCACTAATATCCTACTCCCTCCATTCCTAAATATAAGTCTTTTTAGAGATTCTAATATGAACTACATACGGAGCAAAATGAGTGAATCTACACTCTAAAATATGTCTATATACATCCGTATGTAGTCCATATAGAAATCTCTAAAAAGGCTTATATTTAGGACTGGAGGGACTATATCACAAGACAATAGGGTCACAAAGTCCTCTTGTTGCAGTAATAATACTAGGAGGCAAATAGAAATTGAGAATACCTGGATATTATCTGGCCGGTGTCCCCTTTGTATCATTTTACTGACCTGTCAAGTGTCATGTCAAATATTACAGTTTAGAGCCAACGTTTGGTTCAGTATCAAAAAGTCAAATACTATGCCGTATACATTTTTCTCGTACTCAGCACACTAAATTGACAAATTACAAAATGTTCAGACTGAATAAGTGTTCATGCTAGCGTGGGTACATGCCGGTTTATTTAGGAATGGAGTAGTTGGGCAGGTATGCATGGATATTGCTGATAACAAAATCATCCATGTATCAATCGTTGTATAACCACTAGCAGTTATTAATTCCTCGCTTTTTAACAAACAAGACAAGGCTGGCCGGCAGCTAGTGATGCCCAAATTATTGTGAAAGCTACACCTGCCGCTGTAGAATGCAAGCAACCATGTACGTACCAGCAAAATATAACTTTCCACATAAATAAGAAAGACCAAAAGGATGAGACAAGAGCTTAACAAAGAAGTCGTAAGTGGATGGCCAACTTGAAATACATATATATAAATGTCAACTTTGAGCTGCTAACAACTCTTGGCAACAAAAGAGATACCCAAAGGATGAGACAAGAGGCACTAACTCCCGTGCCTAATTAATTAAGTTCCCTATTAATTACAGGCAACTTCGCTGTGAATGCTGACGTGGAATGATTACTTTTTCATCAATCAATCAGTCACCAAGATTGGTGGTTGCAGCTGAGGTCAGTAAGTGTTTTTTTATGGAGTCACAGACATGCATGAATGAGCAGCATGTGAGTTTGAAAGCATAAATCAGGTCACGAAGTGAGAAGCATAATCGTAACCTGGTTTCACTGCACATGAACATCTAGACAATGGATTCCCAGCCAAAAAATGGTAAATATGAATTACTGCAGGCTGCTCTTCACCGCATCAAGCTCACAGTATGATTGCCAAACTTCAAAGTGCAAACAGATGTGGCGTACTCACAAATTCAAGCCATCGGTTTGAACTCTGGACGTTGATTCGCTTGGGTGATCTCTCAGACCCAGCCAGAACTGTGTTGGGCTTGCTTCTCCAATGGCTGTTCAACAGCGACACGAATGGGCATCATGAAGATTCTCTAAAAGGTCTATATTCCTCATCAAATGGTGTGTGCGGTTACCATGCACATACACATGTTCTTTCCCCCAAAACGGTGACACTAAAAAAATGGCAAATTCATACTGTGGACGTTTGGTTAGGCAGTAGTTTTCAAGTGCAAACCTTGGGCTTGGGTGCCATACGGAGTTCCGAGATCGGCTCATAAAGTCATAATAATATCCTATATCACATTACAACAGGGTTACAGAGTCTGCAGCAATAATACTAGGAGACAAACAGAAATTGAGAATACCTGGATACCATCTGGCCGCTCTCCCCTTTATGTCATTTCCTTGACCAGTCAAGTGTTAAGTCTGGAAAACTTCAGACCTGTCGAGTGCAGCAATATGACAGTTTAGAGACAACTTCTGGTTCACTATCAACATATTCAGACTGAAATAAGTTGCACGTGCTAGCATGAGCCTGTGAGAGAAAGAAAAAGGAACGCTCAAGGTTGCAAAATATTCAGCCTGAACTAAATGCTTAGCCCAGTAAATTAACAAATTACAAAATATTCAGACTGAACTAAGTTCTCATGCTAGCGTTAGTGCGTGACACAAATAGTGAACCTCTGTATATGATTTTTGGTGCCGGGGCACTACAGGAGTCACAGTTTCAGGGTCAGGAGTCCCTATGAAAGTAAGAAGGAATATCATAAGAAAAGAAACGAAAGAAGACAGAAAGAATATAAACCTCACAAGGGCTGCAAAGCAAAACCTGAACCATCCACATGTTTAGTGCTGATTTTTAAGGAAGACAGCTGGTTTAAACTCTGAGCATAATCAAATACCAGCAATGCCAGACCAAGACTTTGCTGGAGAATTCTAAGAAGTTGAGTATTTATGAGTTTTAGCTGACCTGGGTAACTCTGCAAGAATTGACCTGGATAAATACAGGAAAACAGAAGGCAACGCAATTAGACATGTCTTGATATACCCATTTACAGCAGCGTTCAACTGAACATACAGCTGAAAGGCGAAAGTAGATTTGGAATCGCCATTTACTTATAGAGAAAAATAAACAGAGAAACAACCAACAATTTCAAATGGTGACAACAGTGTGGTGTTCAAAGGAATTACATGAATTAGCTCAACGCATCAGCAATAACCTAACCTGGCGCCAGTGAAATCTCACACTGTCTAGTTAGTTCCACAATTTCTCTATCAATCACCACAGCAACAGAAACTCATAAATCACTACTAGATAAATTGGGAACTAGACGAGCTAGCTAATCAACCAAGCAGCCCTAGCAGAAGCATCACCGGCGAACTGTGGATCGATCTGCCTGCTCTCTGCTAACCCTAGCAGTAGGCATCACCGGCGAGCGGCGACCAATCCGCAAGAGAGAGAGAGAGAGAGAGAGAGAGAGAGAGAGAGAGAAGGGGAGTCGTTCCCCTCGAATCGGACCTGCATCCGGCGCGACGCCGACGAATCCGCCATTAGAACTTCTGAGGGAGCCACTAGAGGAAGACGAACTGGCCAGGAGACAGGAGGGACCGAGGGAAGAGGGACCGGAGAGGACTTCTGTCTCACTGACGCGCGGGCCCAGCTACCCAGTCTTGGACCAAGCGAAATGGGCCGGCATCTTCGTAATCGGGTCGTACCGGCACGTGGCCCGTCTAGGGCCGTGCCCGGGCTGCGAGGCTGGGCATGACACGGCCCGTTTACTGTTTTTATTATTATTTTTAATATTTTTAATATTAGCCCCTTAAAAGAGTCCAGATAGGCTCAAAAGGGACCTCCTATATGGCGCGTGTTAGGTGTCGTGTGAACACACACCCTGGCGCGCCAATTTGGGCTGACCCGTTTGCAGGACAAGACGCCCCCTGTTTTTTGTTTTTACCTTTTTTTTTATTTTCTGCTTTTGTTTTATTCTATGTTAAAATAGTTCAGGATTACAAAAAGGTTCAGAAATTTTGAATTTGATGACATTTTTTGAAATTGATGAACAAATTTTGAATTTGATGAATATTTTTTTAATTCAATGAAAAAAGTTGAAATTGATGAATATTTTTTACATTGATGAACATCTTTGAATTCGAAAAAAAATAATTCGTGATTACCACCTACCCGATAGCACCATGGAAATGCTTCACTTACCTAAGTTTTAGAAGCTCACACTTAAACGGGCCAGCTTATCCAAATCGACATCACACACCATGATTGTCCGTTGCCCCGCTCCGAAGTGCTTGCTAATTCACCTATGTCATGGCTTCCGTTATGTTTGAATCAACTCACATAGCATTAGAAGCATAAGTGTGAAATATTGTAGTTGGGGAGATATAAGGTTTGAAGAGCTCATCATCGAGAATGCCCCTTGTCTGGGAAGGTTGATCCAACTTGGTTTAACTCAATCCTTGCATATATCGGTAATCTCTGCATCTAAACTAGGGACACTGGGCTGCCTTTCTTCTTATTGTAGTACCACAGTCATGTTTGGTTCAACAATTATTCAGGTAGCTATGGCTTTCCTACTTGTCTTCACATCCATCTTATCCACATTTATATGCCATTGATGAATTTCATAATTTATGCATTTATAGATGGTCTAATTGTGTCCATGCTTCATGAACGGATTGTGTGTTGATAGCCTGACCACGACGGTGCACAGTGTCAAGATTTCAGATGTTCATATGCATGCTCTTCGTCTGGATGCTCTTATTGACTTGATGAGATTACTAGTAGAAAAAGGGGCAATGGTCCAGGCCGGGTCAGCCCATTAGTCCCGGTTCAGTCCAGAACCGGGACCAATGGTGGCATTGGACCCGGTTCATGAGCCCCGAGGGCCGGCCGGGCCACGTGGGCTATTCGTCCCGGTTCGTCTGGACCTTTTGGTCCCGGTTGGTGGGACGAACCGGGACCAATGGGCCTCGCTCCTGGCCCACCATCATTGGTCCCGGTTGGCGGCTTGAACCGGGACCAAATCCAGCCCATTAGTCCCGGTTCGTGCCGCCAACCGGGACTAAAGGGTTGGTCCTCGTTGCGGTCAGAGTTTAGTCCCACCTCGCCAACCGAAGGGTGCTCACACCCGTTTATAAGCCCCTCTCTCTCAAAGTGAAAATAGATGCCCTTATAGAGGGAATTTGACCTAAATTCATATTGAATTTTTCTGAAGTTAGTAGAAATTTATTATGAATTTAGGTTGAATTTTCTCTATAAGCGCATCTATGCTCATTTTTTTAGTAAAGTTAGTCACAACTATTTTTTCTTCTATTTATTTCTGAGTAGTTTTTTATATAGTTTTTTTTTCTTTTCTGCTATATTTATTTTTTTCTATTTTTTTCTGAGTTGTAATAAGTCATTAAAAATAAAAAAGAGGCGTCACGCTCGTTAATTAGCTTCAAACCTTTCGGAATAGTGTAAACTGCACTGCGCATAGCTCCGTGCAGTCTACCCTATTCCTCAAGGCTTAAAGCTAAGCAACGTGCAGGTTAGCATTGAGCCTATCCCGCATCCTCGTCGTCGTTGACTCGGCGGTGGAGGCCTGCTTGATCAGGGCCATGTTCGGGACTGGGCTTCGCTGGGCTGGTATTGGGAGGTGCTACCTTCCGGGGAACGTAGTTTGGTGAGGAGGCAGCCCATTGTTGACCCGGTCCTTGTTTGGTGGCGGTCGCGTGGGCCAGTGATGGTGCCGTTCCGGACACCGCGGAGGTGGTACGTCACCGTGTCAGCGAGGAGGACGAGCACGTCCGTCGCTACATTGTTGCATTGAAGGGCAGGTTTGACAATACCTGGCAGATTCTTCAAGGATCTCACTGGAGTTATGATCCTGTGATGGTTCCTTATTTTTGGTGTCCACCGCCTGCGATGATACCCGTCGGATACTACGGTTCTAGTTGTATTAGTGATGCTATTTAGAAACACTAGGAAAATTGCCCGTGCGTTGCAACGGGAGGAGGAAAAAAAGTATCGCATGCCCCTAAGACATAAGCGTGGATCAAGACCCCCTCACATGTCCATGTCCTCTATTTTAACACGGTGCCGACCCATGTCGTCGCTTTTCTTCCTCACCACCCTCACCGATGTTGGCGACCGCCTAATCCTAATGTGTCTAAATGTATTCAATCACAATGCAATGAATTGAGCCACAGCACAACATGCATGTGAGTGTCAGACGTGTTGAGGACTTGGTCATGAGAGTTAGTTCAGGACATACGACATCAATAAGGGTTAGCCAGTTCAAGGAACTGGGTCACGGGACATCAAGCTCAAAGCACCGCTACTTGACTCTATCAAGAAACCCATGCACCTGCTCGTTTCAATTCAGAAATCAGAAAGCCAGGGCAAAATCGCACACATGCGTGTGTTGTTCTAGCACATCTGGTAACTAACGACAACTAAGAAAATGCAACGTTGATAAAATAGAAAATGCAATGTTCATAAATTGCTTTGCTTGTTGTTTTGTAAATCCGATTGCACATATGAACATAGAATAACATTGGAACATCCAATAAATGTAAACCAACAAATAAAAGGTACAAAAGAACTGAGGAAACTCAGAGGCTCAGAACAAACTAAAAGACCATAAAATTCAGATAAATTACCTTTTGTACAATTTACAGGGACCCAAGGAGCAAGGATTCCCAATTAAAAACAGAGCAGAGAGATATTAACATAATAGAAAATCAAGAATAATTCGAAAAACATCTACTTCTATGGTAATATTGATACCACTCTTCTTCAGCAAGCAACCATCAACAGCTACATTCTTACTCTTGACAAAAGATGTTTGGGAGTTAGGCCTAAAACTTCAGAAAAATACGCTGAGTTACAAATAGAATACCTGATTGAGAGCTGAGCTTACAGGCTAAGAGAATTGAGATTTCCATTGGCCAGGTCTACTGGAAGTTGTCTCCTGAGGTTCATACATAGGAAAGGAGTTTCAATAGAAGATTTAAACTTCAAGGTTATTATTTTCATGTGAAAAAAAATCTTAAAGTGATCTTGTGAGCTACTTAATTAAGAATAACCTTAGTTCTGATGCTATATGCGGGAGTACTTGTTGATTTGCGCAATCCAAGTAGCTAGCTGCCTTTAAAAAAACATCTACAGTGGCATATCTTGATTCTGTACATAGAACATCAAATTTCAGCAATTACTCATCTTCTTTCACCAATCCTATAAGAAGTGGCAAGTAGTCTTGTGCAAATCTATCACCATTTCC